ATATGGCTAGGTCACCCAATTTATGATTCCAAATAAACCCTTTTGTATGATGTGAGGAGTTCTTCTAGTAGTGTCAGGTTGTGTTTTACAATAATTATCATGGCTAATGATCAATATAAAAGAAAATAATCAAACATTTTGCCCTGATGTCTTTTACAGATCCCCATTATTGGCAATATCTAGTAACAAAGTAGGTTGGGTATATTTGCACCTCCAGTTTGAGTATCTTTGACAAGTGGCCAGAAACATGCTCTATAAAAATGTTTCAATCCCCACCCCCTTTTTTTTTTTTTTTTTTTTTTTTTTTTTTTTTAAATGGGTGGATCAGGCATGAGCAGAGAACTAAAGATCAGTTATTGTCAATGAATATCTGCTCGGTCATTGACTCCAATGACCCGAAAATGGCAGCTGAGGGCATTTTCAGCAAATAAGTTGTAGCCAAGCACAATGTCAACCATAAGTGATGGATAAATAAAGCTTTAGTTTTTTTCATTTTTAATATATGCATGAATGATACTTCCCATTTGGATGTAGAGAAACAAATACTCCAGATCTGTATTTTCCACCTGCTAACAAGATAGACAAGCAGAATAAATAGACTTTAGGTCCACCAAGCCTTGCTAAATAACCTCTTGCAATAGAAAATCAATTTTGGAACTGTGTATTATGATCCTAAAATAGATGTGCAGTGTGCTTTTGTGGTTATTTTGAATTACAGCAGTCTAAAGGAAATTGTGAAACATCGCCTGGTAATTCTGAATAGGCGGCTATTGCTTCTCCTCACTTTTGCAGAAATGTTCAGGGTCACTATGGTTGAGTCGGCCATTAGTAGCTCCAAGGACCCTGCAATTGTTTTGGGCTGTGATAGTGTTGTTTAGGAGCGTTTTACTAATACATCATTAATACAAGGAGCCAAGGGATTGGGACATGGCCAAGGGGTTGCAGGAATATGGTTTCCATTCACACCAAAGTGCGTAATTGTGCGCTTTGTAAAAATGGCACATGCTGCATTTGGGTGCGGTGCAATGCACAGTATGGAAAGAAATAATGTATTTTGGCTCATGCGGCATAAAATAATGTACAAGGCAAAACATGGATGTCAGTGCACATTAACTCAAGTGCAATTATTGCAACAGACATGGTGTGAATTTGGGTGCAAGATAGGTCAGTCGGGTAGCAGGGGCTGTGCCTAACTGCAGGACTTAGGCTGGATTTGCATCACATCTGTTGCATTTCGTGAGTATTGCACATTAAATGCATTTGATTTGTTCACGTGCGTTGACCGCCGTTTTTAATTTATTGGATTGTTCTGCATATCTTTTTAATATGTTCTATTGATGTGCAGTTTTTATTTTGTTCACAGCAGGAACCAGCATGCAATATTTTTCTTTCCTTAATGTGCATTGCAGCATGCTGACGTAAATGCAGCGTGTTTTATCTCAAACCAAAGCAACGCATTGGTGTGAACTGGCCTTATTGGAAATATTGCATTGGGCTTGTAATGTGGCCCAATGGATGTGGTGTGGATGGGCCCTTAAAGGCTGGCTTTACACTTCTGCAATGGGATAATGCATGTTACTGCAATCCATGTTCATTTAATGGTGATGTGTGTTGCATTGTCACTCATTTTAGAATTTCATTCTTATGCACACAGTCCAATTACACTTTCGTGGTTTTTAGTTGACTTCAATGGAAAATGCATAAATGTGAACGGACGCTTATAGTAGTTGCCATCTGCTGTACAGCGCATCAAAATGTACATATTATGTTTTGTGGTGTTGGACAAAAATGCAGCAGGCCTGGTTTTGCCTGCTACCAGCCCATCCCCTTTTTTTTTTTTTTTTTTTTTTTTTCCAGAAAGGCAAGCAATATTTAGCTCTGTCAATCTTTTGCAGCATTTGAAATTTGAAGCTACAACACTCACCAGCTGTGGTGACCCTACTTATGTTATCCAGTTCAACTGCTAATGATCATGGCACACGAACTACATTGTATCAACTGTGTGGTCACTACAAAGTGTAATGAAAAGTTTGCAAAGGTGTGGGTTTTTTTTTTTTTTTTTTTTTTTTCCCCATCTGTTAGATTTCTGCACACAGGGCATGGTCATCTGTTTAAGTTTTCCTTTAAAAAAACTTTAAAAAGCCATTTTAAAAAAACAATGTAAAAACTGCATATTGCTCACACGTTTTAGGCGCATCTAGTTTGAGCATTATTGCATTCTTTCTTGGAATGCATTAATGCCCAAATGCTAGGCACAACTGAATGTGACTAGCATGTATGTGCACTTGCATGTTTTAAGCGTGTTTGCATTTTTTTTTTTTTTTTTTTTTTTTTTTTTTTATCTCCTCTCCTGAAACCAGTTTTCTTCTAATTTGCCTGTAAATGTCTGTACTGTACATAGAGGTGCTTTTCACGGGCTGAAAAAAAACGCTGAATGCCTTTGGCATTTTTTTTTTTTTTTTTTCTCTTTAAAGCTCTGTGTGTATGAGACCAAATAGTTGCATGTGTTACATTGCCTTAAGGCTTTCAGATGGGCAACGCTTCCACCAGCAGCTGCAGGATCGCAATGAGGCTGCCTGTTTGTCCCTCTGGACTTGCTCCATCTGCAGCTTGAGGCAGTGAGATGTCGCTCCCATTGCTGCTGATTGAGATTTAGCAGCGCACATGCCAGCGGCAGATCGACAGCTCACTGCATCTGACTACAGAGAGATTGATTCCATAGAAATGCAGCCTGTTTAGCGATCCTGACACTGGCGGTTTGTCTCTAGCAGAAGAATTGCCCATCTGACATCAGCCTAACATGCACAGGTAGGTATGGGGAACTTTCTTGGTGAGGTCAGGGCTATCTGTGGCCCTTTTGGGGGGGGGGGGGGGGGGAGTAAAAACGGGAGGTAAATTGAAAGCTCTCCGATGCATATAGTCTAGATGTACTCAGTGGGGGGGATTTACCTAAAACTGGAGCACTCAGAATCTGAGTATAATAGCCAATTGGCTTCTAACTTTAAGCTTTGACGATAAAACCTGGAAGCTGATTGGTTTCTATGCAGAGCTGCAGCCAGATTTTCCATGCTCCAGTTTTAGTAAATCTCTCCCAATGGTTTTCATTTATAAAAACTGCATGCATAAAAAACATCTGTATTGCCTGTAGCAACCATTCCATTTGTCTTATTTCAACAAGACTGGAAAAATGACAGCTGGAATCCGGTTTCTACGGTTAAAGCAGCCACCTTTTTTCCTTGCTGCAGATTTTATGTCATCCTCCATTGTAATAACCCCAAGGAAAAGCTAGGGAGAATGCTGTAATGTCTGCAGTGACATCATCAATATCTTCACTGATCGTCGTGCCAGTGCCACCCTGTGGGGACATAGCTGGGAAAAGGAAGATTACTTTTTTTTTTTTTTTTTTTTAATGGAGGATTTAGTGTTGCCCAATTTAGCTATTGGGATTATTAGTCTGTCTCAGCTGTTCCCTAATGCTTATGTACGTGATAGGTTGCCCTATTTTCCCTTGGCTGCTCTTGTGATCAATTAGCTCCAGGTAATGATGGTTGCCAATCGAATGCATCAATCAGCTGTTTATATTGGTGACTATGAACCAGGTTCCTATTGCTGATACTTGTCCAGCTTTACTGGCATCATGTAGGCTATTAAGCTGCTTACAAATATAACCTGTCGCCAGAGCAGCTAACCATTAACAGGGTGAATTCCAGGCATGTGGGTGGAAGGGAGTTCCTTTGCTCGCTTTCCTTTCTGCATGTATTACCCAGCATGCTGAGCGGCGCCTGCACTGCAGAGTCCAAGACGCTCCACCTTTTGCGAGACATTAACCTTTTATTAACCAGTGTGCTGAAGGACTCCAGTGAAATATAACTGGATTTTTTTTTTTTCCTGATCCTATTTTTAACTTTACATTCAACATCATTTGCTACTCTGAGAAATTCTTTAAGGTTCAGCCATACAATAGAACGTGTTTTAACGTGCCTTGCGTTGACGTGCGCTTTATAAACAAGTTGTGTTTTAAAATATTTAAATGGAAATAAGTAGGTCAGTGCATCCAGATTGCTTCTTTGCAAAGCATTGTACTAGTGGGAGTATGTCATGGTAAATACAATTTTTCTTCGTCTTTGCATTTTCCCTGCATTAAAGAATTGTAGCAAAATTCATAACCGTGCATCTAATGTAAACGAGGCCTTGTTCTAGGTGTGGTTCTAAAATCCTTACCTACCAAGCAGAAGTCAGACCTTTTGCAGGATCAGCCTTATAAAAGCTTGCTGTTGGTTGGATTGATTGGTTTACTGCATTCTACAGATTAAATGTGCTCTTAGCTGAGATTTGGCCATTTACTATACTGTCCAGAGAAGCCTTTCTCAAGCTTTTTACCCCAGGGGAATACATAAAATAAATTTCAGGTCTTGAGGAATCCCTATTAAATGGGGGGGGGGGGGGGAATGCCCCTTACCTTCGTGGTCAGTAGGAAGAATGGAACCCTTATGGTGATCAGAATGCCACTTTTGCAGACTGCTAGACAAATTTGTGTCATGCTGCTGGCTTTGCCAAGTGGCATTTTGTCCTGGAACTATTCAGGCTCCATCAATTTGGAGGATTATTGGTCACAACTCATGGAAAGCCCTAGCAACCACGGGAGGCACTCTGGGGTTCTACAGAACCCTGGCTGAGAATGGCTGGTCTGGAGGATGCATACATGGGATTACGTCATTTGTAGCATTGTCAAGACAACTTGCATGTTGCATATTTTAAGCTACACCTCCAGAAGTAGTTATGAGAATCCAATATTGAAAATTCTGGAAGAGGACCGCAACACATCTTGATCTAATAAATCCAAAACATAATGTTTGATTACAAAGTGAAACTAGTTTATGGTGCAGGTTCCTTTTGAATAATAGGTTGCATGTACATTGTGAAAACAGATTCTTCATTTATGTGTCCAGAAAAGCTAGTTATGGCTGTTTCCTTACCTTGTTCCGTCTGTATCTTTCTAGGGGGTGTCATAAGCTATGTTGGTTCCAGTGGTTCCTCCCCCAGCCGGACCAGCCCGGTGTCTCTATACAGTGACTGCTCAACAGGGAGCCCTCAGAGTGGTGCCACACACTACCCATCATACCTGCCACCCTCTCCAACCAACTCTTACAGTGCCAGTTCCTCCAGCTCAGGAGGAGAGAACTCTCCACGATCAACCTATGGCCTGGCTTCCTCTCCTGGAGGGCTTCATGTTGCTCTGGATGATGGCAGCAGGGTTTCACCAAGCAAAACTTCCAGCAACATTACAAGTAAGTAAACCATCAAGACTTTAACCTGTTAAATTTGTTTTCTAATTGGGACCCATTGAAGCCTGCTGCAAAGTCTGCTTTCAGTGAAAACCATAGGTCAAAATAGTCAGTTGATCCAGAAATCTAGGCACTTTGAAGTTCTAAAACAATCAACTTTTCATGTAAAAGTCAAACTGACTCTGCATCTTTCTACCTACCAAGTCATATAATTGGTCTGTGAAGCTGTCTATCACATAAAGGACTAATAGGGAGCATAAGACAGTGGAAGAGGCAGCTTTGGGTTTAAAAGGGAAATTTGCCTAAATGTTTAGTTAACTGTATCCCTAGATCTATGAACATACTTGTCTTGTAAGTGGCAAAAGCTGCTCTTCACATAACCAGAACCCTTTTAACCAGATGGTCTGTGTTGTAGCGGAGGGTCAGCCATTCTGCATTGGCAGAAATTACTGAACAAATGCTATCTGGTTTTATGATCAGCACTGGAGAAAGACTGGAGCACTTTTGAGGAGAAAATGCTATTTCTGCCCTCCTTTGCTATTAGTCTTTCTTTATTAGAGCCTTATTGCCATATGACAATGCACTCGAGCAGAATTCTCAAAATAACTTGACCTGTGCCACATAATGTATGATACCTAACATATCATCATATTTTATACTTATGGCTGTTTTCTGTTTTCTCCAGAGCTGAATGGGATGGTCTTGTTGTGTAAAGTCTGCGGTGATGTGGCCTCTGGATTTCACTATGGTGTACATGCCTGCGAAGGCTGCAAGGTGAGTCCGACTCAGAAGATAATCAGCGATGACCCCAGTGTGATTGATTGATTTGAATTGTGAATTGATATTTATGTCAGTCTTCTGACTGGTACCTTCAAGCCTTTGGTGAATGGTTGTAGGTACATTTTGATTCTTACTACAGAACTCCTAAAGAAGCCCATAGATTATTTGAATTTTCTTTCCTTCCACCACTGGTGGAATGTAAAAAAAATTGCTTGATTCTCCCATCAGCATAGTCCATGTTAATGGAGGAATGCTTCCCACAGTGTTATTGTATTCTGGTGGGGGTCACAGGGAGCCTTTCCAGCCTGCAGAATGCAGTAATCACATACAGAAAAATCCAACAGGCTGGTTGTACCCAAATCGATTGATGGATCAACTTGGATGCAATCAGCCTTCCCATACATGGATCGAATTTTGGCAGGTCCCTGCTGAACCAGACAAATTTGATCCATGTATGGGCGGCTTAAGCTGTTATGTACACTTATGAGCAGGGAGGCAACATGTATTCTCTGCATGAAGTTAGGAATCTGACAGGGTAGCAAGTGTTCATTGAATTTTTCATTGCTAACTCTGTGCTCCAGAGTCCTCTCATTAAATTTAGGAATGAATATACAGGCCTCTTTAAGTAAAATGCTTTTAATCTGTGTTTGTCTGCTGGGAAATTGATATCCTTATTAGTGATATCTAGGGAAGTTCTAGTTTTAGCCGGTAGTGAAAATTGATTACTTTTGAATATCCTTTCCAGACTGCAGGTACAAAGGATTACAAACATGTCATTGTTCTTTGTACCATACAGTTTAATAGACCTATTTTCTAATGTTGGATGTAAGGGGATAAGCCGTATATCTGAGTTTCTCAATCCTTTCCTTCACACAAGAGTTCATTTCCTTTGGATATCAACGTATGTAGCCAAACTATATTGCCATCACTTTAATCTACTTATAATTGTATGATCTCACAAACAACCACTCTTCTGCCTTCAGAAATCTAGAATTGGTAGAAATGTATTGTGGAGTTAGGTTTTTATCTTGAAAGTGTTCATCTTTTAATTGGTGTAGGAAACAAAATTGATTATCCACATGACGCCTCCTTTTCTTCTATCTTGTAGGGATTTTTCCGGCGCAGCATTCAGCAAAATATTCAGTACAAGAAATGTCTGAAGAATGAGACTTGCTCCATTGTGCGCATTAATAGGAATCGCTGTCAGCAGTGCCGCTTCCGCAAGTGTCTCTCAGTGGGCATGTCTAGGGATGGTGAGTTCTTTTAGTGTGGCAAATGTTTCTGTTCATGGCTCATTTTACAAAGTGTCTAAATAAAAATGGCTGTCACTGTCATACATAGAACATTATTATTGAAACTTTCATTTTTTCCAGTAAAATTAAAAGAAAGGTCAGGCTGTTAACAAAAACAGCTTGTTTAAGACACTTTGATAAATGAGGATCAATATGACTTGAGCATCCCAATTTGGCATGATACTGAGAAGTCTAATGCATGTTTTTTTCTTGTCTCTACAGCCGTGCGGTTTGGTCGAATCCCAAAGAGGGAGAAGCAGCGAATGTTGGCTGAAATGCACAGTGCAATGAGCCACATCACTGGAGGACATTTTGGTCGAAGGAGTCCTGTCCCGCTGCAGCCCCAGCAGATTCGGCCCTCCTCTCCTCTCCATGTGGCACCAGCCTCCTGTCCTTCACCTCCTTCCATCCCAGAGGTTTACCCCCACTACCCCCAGCAACTGACACCACCTCGATCCCCCAGCCCAGACCACGTTGATGATGTCATTGGTCAGGTGACCCAAGCTCATCGACAGATTTTTGTGTATGCCCATGAAAAAGTGAGCAGAAAGGCAGCATCTTGGGAGCATCAGCAACATAACAACCCACCACCTCAATGCTGGGCACAGGACAGTGGAGATTCCAGAGGCGGACGCAGCGTGCATCTGGTAAGCGCAGGATGGATCTCTAATATCTAATTTTCAGTCACTTTTTTAATTTTTGCTACACATGTTGAAAGGAGCTCTTTTACCTTGTCATTTGGTCACAAGATCACTAGACCCAGGCAATCGATGACATGTCTGTTTTGTGGTAGCCTACATTCAATGTAGTATTCATTGTATTATCCTACATCCATGTTCAGTACAAATGGATTTCAGGATTTATGTTCCCTACTATGACTTTAGGGAGCAGGGTTGGTGTACAGGGGTCTCTTAACTACTGTTCCACTTTTTCTTAGACCTGTACATTTTATAATTGGAAAATAGTTTTTGAAAGTATCAGATGTATACTGGCTTATACAGTGCATGAGTATATTACAGTTTGGTTCACAGTGGTCGGGGTAATGCTAATGATTTCTTAACACCTTTCCAGGCCTGTCCAATGAACGCTCTGCCTCGTGGGGGTCCTCTCCGCTCTGTGCAGGAAGTTTGGGAAGAATTCTCCCTTAGTTTTACCCCAGCTGTACGAGAGGTGGTGGAATTTGCCCGTCACATTCCTGGGTTCCAGAACTTAACACAACAAGACCAGGTCACCCTGCTGAAAGCTGGTACATTTGAGGTGAGTGATCTGGCTTTGGGCGTATTGATCAGTGATTCTTTTTCCCAAATTAAAGTCTCATGCCCTTATGATCATTGATTGTAAAGACTGGCACAAGCATAGTTAGTGAACTTATTTAGATAGGCAAAAAAAAAAAAAAAAGTGCTATTCCAGTAATCGCCTCGTGCTTGAATAGATTGCATGTGGTTCATTTTGTCAGACCCAAATCTGTTGAATATATATATATATATATATATATATATATATATATATATTCCATTCGTAGGTAACATAAGTTGTACTGTACATCATTTTTGTCTAGTTTCAGCCTGGCATAACCAGGGTTAAAGGACATCTCATTGTAGCCTCTGCATCTAAACAAGTCTTACCCCATAATTACATTCTTTGGGCTTTTTGTTTATCTCACAGCTCCTCTGTTCTTGTTTCACATTTTAGGTCCTCATGGTGCGGTTTGCTACTCTGTTTGATGTGCGGGAGCGTTCTCTGAGGTTCCTGAGTGGAGCAACATACTCTCTGCCAGAACTTCAAGCCATGGGCATGGGAGAGCTTCTCAGCTCAATGTTTGACTTCAGTGAAAAGCTGGCATCTCTCAACCTAAGTCAGGAGGAGTTGGGCATCTTCACGGCACTTGTACTGGTATCGGCAGGTCAGTATTTCCTATATTACTGACATTTGGGGATACTATTTCTTCTGCCTACCCTTTTTAAAGTCTTACTAAACCCACAACAGTACAATCAGTCTGTATATGCAGTAAAGCATTCTTGTTATACTCACTGTGGAACCTGAGGGGTTAATACTCCACATTGTGTAAAAAGGCTGTTTGATCCTGTCTTCTCTGATCTTCCCCTTCTACTGTCCCCAGTCCATCTGCTGATGGAACAGTCTTGGGAGCGTGTTGCACACGCTCAGTTTGGGTGTTTTTTTTTTTTTTTTTTTTTTTTTTTCCTCCTTTTGGGAGAGTGCATATAATCAGCTCAGGGTCAATCTGTACAGTCCAGACAGAGGGTCAGGGGTTATGCAGCCTCATAAGACAATCAGGGAGAATGAAAACTCCTAACAAGCATTAACCAGTGCTCGGATGCACACTGATAGAAGTCTCAAGACTGCTATATACAGCTGATGAGAGAAGGTATTTAGCAGTTTATATTTACTAAAATACTTGAGCTTCCATGTTCGGTGTACTGTGGGAGACAAGATATAGTGAATGCAGGGTCATGGGTTTAATAACACTTTGAAGAGGTTTTTGAGGCTTGGTACATAATTTAAATGTGATCCTAGCTGGAGTGAATAGACATTCAGTAGCCCCCCAAAATGGAAGTCCTTCAGTCATAGTTTTAACAACATAAAATGAAGATTATTGAAATACATTTAATGAGAGACCAAGATAAAATGAATAGGTTTCATTGGGCTTGATCCTGAAGCAGCCCAACTGCTGCCCTATTTGATGACTTCTTGGTTGCATGGTCTCTTGACAATTTCCCTTTCTTAACTTAGTTGGGTTTTATTACTCTAAAGCTAGCAGGAATTGAATCTGGGGATTAAAGTTAAAAACGGCACTTATGAGTGTAGTGTACATCTCTGGCGACATTGTTACCCCTTGGATCCCAAGCTCATGCATATGCATTACTGGTCTCACTGGAGACACTGGGGTTGATTTACTAAAACTGGTGCAGCTCTGCATAGAAACCAATCAGCTTCCAGGTTTTTTTTGTCAAAGACTAATTGAACAAGTTGAAGTTAGAAGCTGATTGGCTTCCATGAACAGCTGCACCAGATTTCGCAAATCTCCAGTTTTAGTAAACCAACCCCACTGAAAGCAGGAACCATAGGCTACTGCTGCTGTCAAACTCCTGTGAGGAGGCAGTGAGGGCATTGCTTGCTAGAGCTGTGTGTGTCTATGGATGCACACAGTCTGCCTCACTAAGGAGGCATCCGGAGCAGGTAGAAGTGGACTGTCAAACAGGAGAAAGGGAACCACTCTGTTCAATATCATTGCACAGAGTAGGTAAGTATAACATCATATTTTTTTTTTTTTTTATTATTTATTTATTTGAATGCGAAAAAAAATTTTTTATCACTTTAAATATAAAAAATACTAGTTTCGAAAATGTTTAAAAACAAAAAAATCCAGAGCATGCTTTTGAGTGTTTGTTTCCTTTTTTGTTGCAGATCGCTCTGGCATGGAAAATGCTTCATTGGTAGAGCAGCTGCAAGAGACTTTGATACGTGCCCTTCGTTCCCTCATCTTGAAAAACAGTCCAAACGACACTTCCCGATTTACCAAACTGCTGCTGCGACTGCCTGACTTGCGAACCCTAAACAGCATGCACTCCGAAAAACTGCTATCATTCCGTGTGGACACACACTGACTGCAATAACCTGGATTGACTGGCTGAGTGGAGGCACTAAACCAAGAATGGTCATGTAGCAATGACATCACAGACTCTGTCACTCCCTGCAGAAAACTAGATCACTTAACTGAGACATCAAGAGAGATGGGGATTGCAAAATGCCCGATGTGTCGCACGTTTACTTTGTGACGGTGATGTATCAGTGGATTGGTGCGTACAGTATATGAGACTTATGTGAGCCAGGAAATGGTATAGCGACGGGATCAGCACTTATCAGAGCAAGATCTGCAGAATTAAGTGTATATTTATATACGTATACATCTGTACATACTTTACTGTCATACAGTGGAACCATTGTGTAAATATTTGTGTGTATATCAGAGGTTGTGCTAAATATAAAATATTTTATGAAACCCTAATTTTTAGTCTTCACATACTTTGTTCTGCATAATAAATGTGTATATATTTGTATGTTTTCCATAATCAAAAGGAGATTTATAAAACAAGTGAATCCCAGTATGTCCCCTCTTTCCGGACCACCTATTTTGGGGAGATCTTCGATCATTTTCTTACAGGATATCGGTGCTAAGGGTAATATGCAGGATTAGGGCCTCACTTATACATCCTAAATTGGTAATGCTGAGGCAGGTATACTATATGGGGCATTGGGGATTACTAACACCAGAGCACACAAAATCTGGTGCAACTGTGCAGATTAAGCAATCAGCTTCTAGGTTTTGTTAAAGTTTCATTGAACGAGCTGAAATTAGGTGCTGGTTGGTTACTGTGACGCCAGATTTTGTTGCTGTTACAAAAAAAATGGAGGAAAAAAAAAAGGGGGGGGTAATCATAGTTTGGTTAGTGTGGGCCACACAGACATATTGCAAACTCCCTTCCAGTGTTTGTACAGAGACCCACCATAGTTTTGTGTTGGGAATTTGCAACAAGGAGTACTAAACCAAGCACATTTACGTGTGTGTGTGTGTGTGTGTGTGTGTGTGTGTGCGTATAAAATCTCTCGCAGCACAAATCAGCCATGATGCCCTTTGCTGCTGGTGTAGAAGTCCATACCCTGCAATACACAGCCCTGAATTGAGTAGCCCATTCTAATGCTAGCAGTGGCAGGCACTTGTTAATAAACCTGTATGTGAGACTGTGCTGGCCAATGAGAAGAGCTTCTTTCTTCTTGGACATCTTTCCAGGAGAAGCCTCAGATGCACTTGGATCAGCAGGATCATGTAGTTGTACTGACCAATGAGCACTTGCCATTTTGAGCATTATGATGGATACTATAATACACAAGCATACAGCTGTGCTCAAAAGTTTGCATACCCTGGCAGAAATCATTACATGTTGATATTGAAAATATGACTGATCATGTCAAAACACTTTTTTTTTTTTTTTTTTTTTTTTTTTTTTTTTTAATTTAAGGATCGAGATCATAAGAATCCATTATCACATGGTTGTTTTGGCTCCTTTTAAATCCGAATGATAACAAAAATCACCCTACTGGTCTTGATCAAAAATGTACATACTCTGGAAAGTTTGGCCTTGGTACAGACACAAGGTGACACACACGGGTTAAAATGGCAAGTAAAGGTTAATTTCCCACATCTGTGGCTTTTTAAATTTGCAATTCGCGTCAGTGTATAAATAGTCCAATGAGTTTGTAAGCTCTCCACAAAAAAGCCCGCTGAGGCTTGTCAGTGTTGTCGGGCATATTGTAACTGGGCTTTTTTTCTGGCATTGGTGCAGTAAAGGCTTCTTTCTGGCAGCTCAGCCAAGCAGCTCATATTTTTTTTTTTTTTTTTCTCCCAAGTATCATACTGTGCTCCTTCAAAACAACCACTCCATCTTTTTCCAGAACAGCCTGTATTTCTCTTGAGGCTACCTGTGGGTTTTTCTTTGTATTCAGAACAATTCTTCTGGCAGTTTTGGCTGCAATCTTTCTTGCTTTCCCTGACTTTGGCTTGGTATCAAGAGATCCCTGAATTTTCCACTTCCTAATAGGTGAATGAACAGTGCTGACTGACATATCCAAGGCTTGGGATATCTTTTTATATCCTTTTCCATTACCTTGTTACGCAGGTCTTTTGACAGTTATTTTCGGCTCAGTATCTAGCTTGCTCAGTGCACCCATGTGAGAGCTAGAAAACTCATTGACTATTTATAGACTGATACTAATTGCAATTTAAAAATCCACAGATGTGGGAAATGAACCTCTTAATTGCCATTTTTTTAATCTGTGTGGGCACTTTGTGTGTTTTTTCCAGGGTATGTAAACTTTTTGATCAGGACCATTTGGGTGATTTCTGTTATGATTTAAAAAGGAGCCAAACAACTATGTGGTAATAAATGACTTCAGATGATCACTATGCTTAATTAAAAGACATTGTTTGGCATGATCAGTCATATTTTCAATGTCATGATTTCTGCCAGGGTATGCAAACTTTTGAGCAGAAGTGTACCTTAAGAAATCACATTGGCACCCCTCACTCTGTATTCTTCTGCTCTGCAGAGTCTTCTGTTCAGTCAGTGTTCTTCATAGGCGTCTGCCACCATCTTTAACATCCTCCAGCAGATGGCACCATCCCACTGTGTGCAAACGTTCTGGCACAGATCATTCGGCCACAGACTGCCCTTTAAGCTCTCCGTGATCTCCAGCTCCACAGAAACTCCTGAGGGTGTTTGGAAATAAATGCACAACCCCATAAACCACTGCACCACCCCACCAACCACTGGAGTCTGCACTTATGACCTCTCCACCATAGCTTCTGAGGGGTGATCCTGTTCTGCTTGTTTTTAAGATATCATTATACCAGATGGTTTTCAATAATGAAACAGAATAGCTATCCAGAAATTTCTGATCTAAATAAAAAAATACATATCCGGACTGGTGAGCTGGATGTGTTTCTAGATACACACTATGATAGGGAGCCAAACATTAACTGATTCCACTCTCCCACTTGTTTATAAAATCCATAGAGTGCAGAAATCTTTAGATCAGCCTTTCTCAACCTTTTCAACACAGAGGAACCCTTGACATAACTTTCCCTGCTAGAATGACTTTATCTACAATTCATGATACATTAGTGTGATAGTCAGATGTAAGAATGCTCTTTACACTTGTGGTCATTGGGAAGAATTACCCCCTTTACAGATAGCTAGAAAGATCATTGGTGTCAGTGGGAAATTACCTGAGAAAAATTGCTCGTTGCTGAAGGAACCCCTGGCAACCTCCTGGAGGAACCCAAGTTGAGGAACCCTGCTTTAGATGCTCATCCTATCCTTCATTTCCAATAGAAAACAGTATAGTAGAAAGTACATGAAGACAGTTTTTGGGCATCCCTGCCCTTCATCAAGTTGAAGGTAATTTACAATGTAACAAAGGTTTACATGTATCCAAAACAAAGCATCAGATCAATCACTATCTCTGTATTGCCCTCCAACAAAGAACAACTGAAGCCTATGTAAATGATGCATAGTCCTGTGATAAAGAATACTCCGCCATACTACACTCTATAGATAGAATGTATCTCAATACACCTAGCAAACGTCTATATCAATTATTAATGCATTATAGACTGTTGCTAGGTGTATTCATTGAGACACTTTGTATCTGAGGTACTATGTTCTAGTGGAATAAGATTAGGTTCACACTTGAGTGAACCTAGTTGAGCGACAGAAGCCTATTTCACAAATGGCTGCTGTTGAATAAGCATGCTAGAAAACCAGCAGCCAACTGGCATCTGATCAGCGTTCCCAGCCAATGGCTGCAAGCACTGACTGGTTTGTTCTGGGGAGGGTCCTCCTATCAAAACACAATAGTACAGTGGGGAGATTGCTGACATTGATGTCTGATGTTTCAGAGACTGTTTGGCCTCCTTTCTCAAGAGGACAGAACTTCACTGAGCTCCTGGACAGTCTGAGGTGCAACCTGGTGGTGTCTGAGGGACCGAAACATGATATCCAAAGGTGTTCTATTTGATTTATATCAGGAGAGTGTAGGGGCCATTCAATGGTATCAATTCCTTCATCCTCCAGGAACTGCCTGCATTCTGTCACCACATGAGGCTGGGCATTTTCTTGCACCAGGAGGAACCCAGGACCCACTGCACCAGCGTAGGGTCTGACAGTGGGTCCAAGGATTTCATCCCGATACCTAATGGCAATCAGGGTGTCATTGTCTAGCCTGCAGAGGTCTGTGCATTCCTCCATGGCTATGCCTCCCCAGACCATCACTGACCCACCACCAAAACGGGCATGCTCAACGATGTGACAGGCAGCATAACATTCTCCTTGTCTTTCTCTAGACCAGGGGCGGACTGACCATTTGGAAACTCGGGCAATGCCCGGGGTCAGTAGAGGCCCCATGAGATGCCCCTTGTACTTTTAGCAACTATGTACAAGTTTCTTTAAAGCATAAATTTCTTCTTGGTGAGTTCTTCAGCCTCTCCTGGTGTACCACCCCAGATACCAGATGAATCCTCTTCTCATCCAGCTGCCTGAAGGAATTCCTGGGCAATGGGGACCCAGAATCTGTCCCTTTAAATCAAACAGTCAGGTTTCTCACCTGAATGCTCTTTCCCCTTATCTGGCCCATGGGGTATAGGACTACTCACTCTTCCTCTCCTGCGAGCTTGTTGGATTGGTGGCTGACTTCAGGCCTTCTGTAGGGCTGGCTCCTTCCCTGCTGCACAGGTGGTCCTCTATCAGGGGACTACTGAGGTTGAGAGATCCTCCTTTCAGATTCAGTCTGGAGGTCAGGCCACTTCCCACTGGGCCTCCTCCCAGGCTTCTGCATCCTAGCCTCTCACTCCATCTTCCACCCGAACTCTCCTGCTGCTGAGCAGGCTCAGTCATACTTAAGGGTGTCCTGACCCCAAGTCTCCTGCCTGGGGATTGGTCAGGACCCCTTAAGTATGCAGATCAGCCCCTTCTCACCACCACCCATTGCCTTCTAGAAACTTCTCAAGTCTCTAGAGCAGAGGGAGGTATCAGGGAACTAATCTGGGGAG